AACATTGGTCTTCCGGGGATTTCGACGAAGTTTCCGGACGATCGTCGATGCATGAGGAATCGGGGAATGGACTCGGTGCTGAAATGCGACGCGGACAATGATCAGATATATCGGTTATTGCAACGGAACAATTAATGCGCTGATAATTATGCGCGGCTAATTAATGCGCTGATAAATAACGTGCTGATAATTATGGGCTGATAATTGTGCGCTGATTATTGATGCGCCGATAATTATACGCTGGTAATGAACGCGTTGATAATTAATGCGCTGATAATTAGCGCGCTGATAATTAAGGCGCTGTTAATCAACGCGCTGATAATTAATGCGTTGATAATTAATGCGCTGATAATTAACGCATTGATAATTATGCGCCGATAATTAGGCACTGATAATTATCGCGCTGATAATTAAGCGCTGCTAATTATTGCACTGATAATTATGCGCCGATATTTATGCGCTGATTATCGATGCACTGGTAATTATGCGTTGATAATTAACGCGCTGATAATTGTGCGCTGGTAATTAACGCGCTAATAATTAATGCGCTGATTATTAACGCGCTGATAATTAACGCGCTGATAATCAACGCGCTGACAATTAACGCACTGATAATTATGCGCTGATAATTAATGCACTGATAATTAATGCTCTGATAATTAACGTGCTGGTGATTACTGCGCTGATTATTGATGCACCGGTAATTACGCCTCGATAATTAACGCGCCGATAATTATGCGCTTTTAATTAACGCGCTGATAATTATTGCACGATAAGGGGACCCTGGCATTCATCGACGACGCCAACTGGAAACCATATATCCCTATGAAACGATCGCCTCCCTGGTTACATAATTAATTTCTTAAATTAGTGAGATCAAGCGTTTTGCTTCCTCTACTCTCAGCTAGAATTCGCTAAGTGTATCGTAATCTGTGCACCTCCGAGTCCCGGTCCAATAATTCCCATGCATCCGAACAATTTTTCTGACCTAATCTCGCGGTGCGACCATCCTGATTCATTCGTAGACTTCAAAGATTATGGCAGCGGCGTCGGCGACTGCGGCGACGGTTTTAACCCTTTGCACTCGAAGCTACATTAACCGAAAATATAAAATCATTTTTCTAACTTATAATATTTCCACTTTATACGACAAAATGCATATTAATTGCATATGAGCCGTTTATTTCGAAAGTGGCATAAGCACTTTTTTTTTTAAATGAAAAGATACCGTTCAATTGTAATTAGTGTTACCATTATCTCGACTTTTTTGAAAAAGTGACTTGTGCCATTTTCAAAATAAACGGCTCATATGAAATTGACTTTTCGGATTCACGCAACAGTTACGCTCTCGACAATCTTTTTAAATCTGCACTTCGTTAATATCAAAATAATGTTAAAAGATGATATAACAAATTTCAGCGGTGCTTCAGAGTCACCGCTCGAGCGCAAAGGGTTAATTTCCGCGGCGAACAGCTGTCCGCTCCGATCCGCGACAGATCTCGCGCAAGAAGGCAACCGAAGCCTCCAACAGGTTCGCGTGGGCTCGTTTGCCCACGAAACTCGATTCCTTTTCAACCCCCTTGGGGAGGGAGGGGGGTGGTTGCGCGACAAACTCGCGCGGAACGCGGCCTGTTACAACACTGTCGCCGATGCGCGGGTCTCGTGTGACGCGGTAGGTTCGTGATAGGCCGAACGACGCGATCAAACGGCCCCGAGGGGGTGTACGGTTTCTCGCAATTGGAATCGGCGCGTTTCGAGTGGAACCCGGGAACAGATTATTCGCGCGGCCCGCTTCGCCGTTCCATTGTGCTGCCGCATCCGGCTGTGCACACGCCGCTATCACAGGTGCGACGGGAACCGCCTGCGCTCGTTCGTCGCCGACACGCTTCTCTCGTCCTCCAGCGACCGGCGAACCCCTAATTCGACGCGTCTCCCTCGGACCCCGAAATCCTCTTCCGCGTACAAAATTTCGCCGTTCAAATCAACAACGTTGTTCCATAGGATACAGTGAATTCTTCCTAATTGACGGTTTTTTGTGCGATGCGATTATTCGAGGCTTTTTGTATTGTTTTTTCGGTGCGTACGGAATGGCGGATTTTTAAGAGAATATATGGAATCGTGGGACTTTTTGCGGAAATGTTTGTTTAAGCGAAATATGCTTCGTTTGGTTCGATGTACTTTTATCAACGAGATTTTAACGCGTAGGTGACTGGCTGAAAGAAATTGTGATTTGTAGAATTGATAAGGAGTCAATTTGAATTCAAGTTGTTATTAATTGGTACAGAGTCAATTTGACTTTGAGTCGACGTTAATTGATGCAGAGTCAATTTGACTTCAAGTCGATGTTAACTGATGCAGAGTCAATTTGACTTCAAGTCGATGTTAATTGATACAGAGTCAATTTGACTTCAAGTCGACATTAATTGATACAGAGTCAATTTGACTTCAACTCATCACGATTAATATAGAGTCAATTTGACTTGAAGTCACCAATAATTGTCACAGAATCAATTTGACTTCAAGCCACCATTAATTGTCACAGAGTCAGTTCGACTTCGAGTCACCATTAATTGATACAAAGTCAATTTGATTTCAACTTATCACGATTAATATAAAGTCAATTTGATTGCAAGTCTCCATTAACTGACTCAAAGTCAATTTGACTTGAAGTCACCAATAATTGTCACAGAATCAATTTGACTTCAAGCCACCATTAATTGTCACAGAGTCAGTTCGACTTCGAGTCACCATTAATTGATACAAAGTCAATTTGATTTCAACTCATCACGATTAATATAGAGTCAATTTGATTGCAAGTCTCCATTAACTGACTCAGAGTCAATTTGACTTGAAGTCACCAATAATTGTCACAGAATCAATTTGACTTCAAGCCACCATTAATTGTCACAGAGTCAGTTCGACTTCGAGTCACCATTAATTGATACAAAGTCAATTTGATTTCAACTCATCACGATTAATATAGAGTCAATTTGATTGCAAGTCTCCATTAACTGACTCAGAGTCAATTTGACTTGAAGTCACCAATAATTGTCACAGAATCAATTTGACTTCAAGCCACCATTAATTGTCACAGAGTCAGTTCGACTTCGAGTCACCATTAATTGATACAAAGTCAATTTGATTTCAACTCATCACGATTAATATAGAGTCAATTTGATTGCAAGTCTCCATTAACTGACTCAGAGTCAATTTGACTTGAAGTCACCAATAATTGTCACAGAATCAATTTGACTTCAAGCCACCATTAATTGTCACAGAGTCAGTTCGACTTCGAGTCACCATTAATTGATACAAAGTCAATTTGATTTCAACTCATCACGATTAATATAGAGTCAATTTGATTGCAAGTCTCCATTAACTGACTCAGAGTCAATTTGACTTGAAGTCACCAATAATTGTCACAGAATCAATTTGACTTCAAGCCACCATTAATTGTCACAGAGTCAGTTCGACTTCGAGTCACCATTAATTGATACAAAGTCAATTTGATTTCAACTTATCACGATTAATATAAAGTCAATTTGATTGCAAGTCTCCATTAACTGACACAGAGTCAATTTGACTTGAAGTCACCAATAATTGTCACAGAATCAATTTGACTTCAAGCCACCATTAATTGTCACAGAGTCAGTTCGACTTCGAGTCACCATTAATTGATACAAAGTCAATTTGATTTCAACTTATCACGATTAATATAAAGTCAATTTGATTGCAAGTCTCCATTAACTGACACAGAGTCAATTTGACTTGAAGTCACCAATAATTGTCACAGAATCAATTTGACTTCAAGCCACCATTAATTGTCACAGAGTCAGTTCGACTTCGAGTCACCATTAATTGATACAAAGTCAATTTGATTTCAACTCATCACGATTAATATAGAGTCAATTTGATTGCAAGTCTCCATTAACTGACTCAGAGTCAATTTGACTTGAAGTCACCAATAATTGTCACAGAATCAATTTGACTTCAAGCCACCATTAATTGTCACAGAGTCAGTTCGACTTCGAGTCACCATTAATTGATACAAAGTCAATTTGATTTCAACTCATCACGATTAATATAGAGTCAATTTGATTGCAAGTCTCCATTAACTGACTCAGAGTCAATTTGACTTGAAGTCACCAATAATTGTCACAGAATCAATTTGACTTCAAGCCACCATTAATTGTCACAGAGTCAGTTCGACTTCGAGTCACCATTAATTGATACAAAGTCAATTTGATTTCAACTCATCACGATTAATATAGAGTCAATTTGATTGCAAGTCTCCATTAACTGACTCAAAGTCAATTTGATTTGAAGTCACCAATAATTGTCACGGAATCAATTTGACTTCAAGCCACCATTAATTGTCACAGAGTCAGTTCGACTTCGAGTCACCATTAATTGATACAAAGTCAATTTGATTTCAACTCATCACGATTAATATAGAGTCAATTTGATTGCAAGTCTCCATTAACTGACTCAAAGTCAATTTGATTTGAAGTCACCAATAATTGTCACGGAATCAATTTGACTTCAAGCCACCATTAATTGTCACAGAGTCAGTTCGACTTCGAGTCACCATTAATTGATACAAAGTCAATTTGATTTCAACTCATCACGATTAATATAGAGTCAATTTGATTGCAAGTCTCCATTAACTGACTCAAAGTCAATTTGATTTGAAGTCACCAATAATTGTCACGGAATCAATTTGACTTCAAGCCACCATTAATTGTCACAGAGTCAGTTCGACTTCGAGTCACCATTAATTGATACAAAGTCAATTTGATTTCAACTCATCACGATTAATATAGAGTCAATTTGATTGCAAGTCTCCATTAACTGACTCAGAGTCAATTTGACTTGAAGTCACCATTAATTGTCACAGAATCAATTTGACTTCAAGTCACCAATAATTGTCACAGAATCAATTTGACTTCAAGTCTCCATTAATTGTCACAGAGTCAATTTGACTTCAAATCATCATTAACTAACACAGAGTCAATTTGACTTCAAGTAACCACTTCTGATACGAAATAATACTAATTTTTATAGTCGCCGACTATCCACAACTATAAAACCAAGCCGCGACACTCGAATAATCGAATCTCCTCTCCCCAAACTATCCATTTTTGCAATCATCACAATCCAAGCGTCAATTAGGGGAAAATGTACTGCATTTACAATATCGAACGATCCAGTCAATTCGCAAAAATCGGAATCAGAATTTTGTCCACCGCACCGGAGGAGATATACAGGGTGGTCGGTAAATAGTAATTAAATAAGTCGACAATTTAACCTTGAAATAACCCGGGAGTGAAACGATTCAACGTAGAAAAATGTAGAACAATATTTCATCGTTCAAGCCTTCGCTTTCGAGAGAAATTCGGTTGAAAAAACAATTCCATTGAATAAAAATCAAGCGACGCCACGACGAATGCAATGGCGTACCAATTCAATCTCCCGTCAAGCTACAAACCGCGCGAACTTTCAAGCCATCTTTCAACCCAGTTTCCTCGAAAATACAATCTTAAATAAAAAAAAATACTCCTCTCTCCACTATCCGACTTATTTTTCCACATTGAAAATCCCCTCTCCTGATTTCGTCGCCAGTTAACGACCGCCCCGTACATTCAAGTTCAACAATAAAGTTCACAGTGTTTCCCGTTCGTTCACAAAGTCATCTATTTTCATCAGAAATCAAAGTCGATCTTAATCTTCTGCAGAATACATTAATGTCTCTCTAATTGTCGCTCAGATCGCGCACAAAAATGTACAATTTGAGAAGAGGAGATACGATTGTTCAAGCTTCGTAGCTCATTGTTATGGTTTTAGACAATTCATAACTACAAAAACGAACCGCAAGCTTCGAATTAATCTTATCTCCTCTTCCAAAATTGTCCATTCTTGTGGACAACCTGAGCGTCAATTAGAGAGACACCACTGTACAACGATATCATCATGGTCATTTCTGACGTGAAACACAATTCATTTCCATCTCGCACGCGAAACATAATGCAAAACGCGATCGCAAAGAAACGAACGAATCGCGAGACGAACTTCTCCCAAAAGAAATGGTCGAAGAAACGCAGGAAGAAACGGAAGAAACGCGTTACAATCGATTCGACACGATCCATTGGATCCCCACGCCGTCGTCGCGTCCGTAAAATCGCGTAGCCAGCTCGCAAAACCGACTTCGAATCGCGAACTCTGATAAATTACAATCTCCGACAATAATCGAAGATCCGAGTCTTCCTTGAGCTCGAACTCGCTCGAATCCGCTCGAACTCTTGAGTCGCCGATCGCCCGGTTCCACAGCTCCTCCGTCGTCGGACAAGAAGAAGAAACGTCGTCGGTCGTTTCCGCGGCGAAGGTGTCCTCCTCCCTGGCGTCGCAGTTTCGAGGGCGAAGGTTCGCGAGCACGCGGATCGATCGGCGCGCGAGAACTCGCCAGGAGCCGGGCGGAGCTGCTGGCCGGCGGCCGCGCGGAGGACGAGCCTCGTGCAGCTAATTGCGAGCTCCGGATCTCCCCTGTCCCGGCAAATTGCCGGCGAGCTCTCTGTTTACTCCGTCGCGGTTTTGCGCCGCGAGACGAGCTCGTCTCTCGGCCGGCTCGAGCCGCTGGAAGAAACGCACCCCGCGAGCGCTCGAAGAGTCCGCGTTCGTCGCGGCGCCGTGGCGACGCCGTCGGTCCCTGAAGAGCTGGGGCCCTGGGAGGTCGTTCGACGGGCCGAGAAGGGAACACCGGGAACGAGGTAAGTACTTCGGTATCGGCTTGATCGTGTCCGGTGCCTCTAAAGAGAGAGAGGGAGAGAGAGAGAGAGAGAGAGAGAGGAACACCTTTGGCTCGAGCGGCCGACTCCGTGTCTCGATTCGCGTGTCGGAATCCGTGCGGGCCGACACCGAGAGCGATTCCGGGCCTTGTAACGAACGCGGGCCGCACGCGAAGAATCCTGGAGAGCGCGGATCATCATCACTGTCTCCAATTTAACCGTCCCGCGGTCTCTGCATCGTGGACGACGGGCTCCGCGAGCCTGGAATTCCTTCGCGTCACTTCGTCATCGTCGTCGACAGTCCCTCGGCGAGGACACTAACGACACAACAGGGGCCCCCGTCCGCGGTCCCACAATGTCCCGGGCGGACAGGCGCCCCAGCGCCCCCCACCCCCACGCTTTTTCACCCGAAGGGTCCACGGACGCCGGCAAGGATGAGGCCGTACGCGTCCTCGGCGTCGAACAGACCCGCCGCTCGTCGATCCGGCGAGCCGGCGGACGGCCACGACGCGGCCGGTCCCCGTCGACGCTGTCGTCTTCTCTTCTAAGGGCTGTCCTCTGTCGGGTACCAGGCAGCTGGACCTGCGGCGGACGGGTTGGTGACCGCCGCGGATGGCATGTACTACCAGGCCCGACTTTGGAACGGCAGGTACCCGCCGCACTGCGGCTGTTGCTGCTGCTGCATGCTCTGCTGCGCCCCGGCCCTCGTGTACGAACAGTGCTGCAGGCTCTGGCTGGACGACATCACGTGGCTCACGCCGACCACAGAGTGATGGGAGACCGAGGAGGCCGCGTGATGGGAACCGTGGGGACTCGAGGCGGCGGTCAGGTGCGGGGCCGGGCTGGCCAGGGCCGCGCTGGGACCGCCGCGGCTGCCCTCGTTACCGCCGCCGCCGCCGCTTCCGCAGGGCTTGCCGTCCTTCACCAGGACCGGGACCGCCACACGTCGCGGCGAACTCGCGCTCTGCAAAAAAGAAGAATAGCAGACGGTTAATTAATAAACTAATTCGGTTTTGTTGTTGTTTTTTTTTTGGTATGGGAGCCTTTCGTTGTGAGAGCGGAAGGCGCTATTTAACGCGGGGAGGTGATAATACAGGGTGTCTCAAAAATGTCTCGCAATCCGAAAGTAGGGGCTTCCTGAGGTGATTTGAAGCATCTTTTTCCTTAGCGAAAATGCAATCCGCGGCTTCGTTCACGAGTTATTAGCGAAAAACGGTGGCCAATCGGAGGCGAGCTCGCCTGGCGCGCGGCGGCGCGCCGCGGCGGAGCCAATGAGTGGAACTAGGCTTCGCGCACTCGTTGGCTCGACCGCCTCGCGCCTCAGCCGTGCTCGCCTCTCATTGGCCACCGTTTTTCGCCAATAACTCGTAAACGAAGCCTCGGAGAACATTTTCGCAAAGGAAAAAGTTGCTTCAAATGAGCTCAGCTATCTCTCGTTTCTCGCTTGTACAATAATTCCGGGACACATTGCTCTCTGCTGTACCAGTGTTCCAGATTCACTACGGGAGAAATCGAAGCTCTCTCAGAGCTTGCCACGGCGATGAATAGTCATCTATTTTTCGAGCTTCTATTCTCATTCTTGTCTCGATTCTTCGACGCGATCGACGACGGTGCTTTCTTCAGCGGTCGCTCCGCGATTTCCGAGTCGCGTTAGGAACGCAATTAGGCACATTCTGGGACACTCAGTATACTATACAGAGGTCTTTCATCGACACGAGTCTTGGCCCAGTCCTCGCGATCGGGGCACGGAATGCTCCGATGCACGCGTTGCTCTATGGTAAACCGGTCGAGACGACAACGTCGACGACGACGACGACGACGACGACGACGTGGGACGAGGAGTACGGTTTCATTGGGGCGAGG